TTGATTTTGATTGCAATCATGACGATGGCCGTCTAGAATAGAGGAAGAGAATGGATAAAACCTTGACTTGGGCTGCAATCCATTGATCTAAATCTATCATGACCAACATCCATATTGACTTTTAGTTGCAAACTCGTTCATTAATACCGTCCATTACTCCCTAAAATGATACTAATGGTTATTATTTCATTTCATATTGAAGACAACTACCATTCCCTTGTTGCCTACCCTTGCAATTTATAAACTGGAACATGCTACTTTAGATATTGACTTTTGCTTGCAAACTTGTTCATTAATACTGTCAATTACTCTCTAAAATGATACGAATGGTTATTGCAGACAACTACCATTCCCTTGTTGCCTACCCTTGCAATTTATAAACTGGAACATGCTACTTTAGATATTGACTTTTGCTTGCAAACTTGTTCATTAATACTGTCAATTACTATCTAAAATGATACGAATGGTTATTGCAGACAACTACCATTCCCTTGTTGTCTACCCTTGCAATTTATAAACTGGAACATGCTACTTTAGATATTGACTTTTGCTTGCAAACTTGTTCATTAATACAATCAATTGCTCCCTAAGGATACACATAATATTGTCAGATATGAATGCTACATTGCTAATCAAGGATAATAATCATATTTTACAACGCCAATCATGGAATGGACGTTGTTGTATAATGGACTAAATAATAAAATTAAATCATCAATAATATTATAGAAAGCGAAAGAAACTGTCGAAAATGGCCGAGGCCAATCGGGAAATAAGCCAATTCCTGGAAAGAAAAAGGCGGAAGATTTCGAATTTGGTAAATTAATTGGCGAAGGCTCTTATTCTACGGTAGGAGCAATTGATAAATAATTATATCATGTGTGTTTTATGAGTCATTGGTGCCGTCATTAAACTGCAGTAGACTATAGAATAGGATTAGAAATAATAAATAAAATGATAGAAGATTATGAAAAGATGCTTGATTGAGCATGATACTATTGAATAATACTCTTATGCTATACCATTATAATCACTAAAATGACCATTAGTACTTTAATAATTATAATCTCCAATGTTATAGAATTATTTGCATTTGAACTTGATTTTGAATTGTGAGTGATCATAGTAAAGGAACCCATGACTGTAGAAATAGAGGAGTTATGCCATCAATTATTGATGATTATCAATCATAAATACTGTAGAAGCAAATAATATGAGTTACAAAGACGAAATGAACGACTTCAAATAACATCATAGTATTGAATGACAGTCTAAAGCTGTTGGCTTTCATCATGGATGAGTTAAGGCATAAATTGTTGATGATCATCAATCATAAATATTGTAGAAGCGAATAATATGAGTTCAAAGGCGAAATGAACGACTTCAAATAACATCATGATATTGAATGACAGTCTAAAGCTGTTGTCTTTCATCATTGAAATGACAATCGAGTAGTCATGGATTTTTCAATCGTTTGTGTTGATCGGATAAAACTAACTAAACCTATAGTAGATCCTCTAGAATTGGCAAGATTATAAATCGCAATGAGATGCCAATAAAATTTCAGCTATGAAAGCCACACCAGTAACTTGTAATATCGCCAATGATAATCTCATATTTATGGTCTAAAATGATCTAGATTGTTAAGTTGTTTGTATGAATTGGAAAAAAACTTTACGTCAAAAAGTTATTAGCTACTTACCTACCAAATCACTCCATTTCATAACTTTTATATGTGTTAAGAAAAATGCCAAGAATTCTACTTTAATACTGCACTACAGTACCGCCTGTTTGAATTATCGCATAAAGTAGATCAATAATTGCTCGCATAAGTCAAAAATGATATCTACTTGGACAATTATTTAGCATTGAATGCTACATATTACGACATTAATGGGCATACTGTTTGGCAACAGTGCAACTACTGTATAGATGGCAAACCATATATTTCCATAGACCTAAAATAATATTCCCTGCGACGTCATCGTTTTAACCCCAATTTTTTTCTATTTTTACCATAGGTTGTATTAGCACGTGATAAAAAGTCACATAAAGAATACGCAGGTAAGTTATCCTCAACAATAATCAAAATGAAGAAAACGACTCTACATAAAGTATTGAAGGGTCAAACAGTAGTCACATATTGACTAGAGTAATACTTTCCTAAGTTACGAGTTGTTATTAACTTGTAGACTCATTTACATTAACCTATAGTACTTCTATAGTTAACTAATCTTAATGCTTAAAATTTTGATAATTCAGTCAAAATTCTGGAAAAACGCCTCATTATTAAAGAACACAAGGTGAAATATGTTTCTCGAGAAAAGGAAGTCTTCAGTCGACTCAACCATCCGTTCTTTGTCCGGTTATATTTTACATTTCAAGATAAAGAAAGACTTTGTATCCTAAAATACTTAATTCTTACATTTGAACTACTTTTCATGCTATGCAACCAAATAAAATTGACATCCTTTAGGTCATAAACGATTGCAGGACCATTTATGATGATATTATTTTACCTTAACAACAACCACTACATTAGACTTTGTGTTAAGTTTTGCTAAGAATGGTGAGCTGTTAAACTACATCAATAAGGTAATATAAAGTATCCTATGTTTAGAATGAGTATGCATCGTTATTGAGCAGCTAAAAAGAGTAATTTGAATGATTTGTACTCATATCTATTTCAAAATATAGTTAGGGAGCTTTGATGAATATGCGACTCGATTTTATGCAGCGGAAATCACCTCAGCTTTGGAATATTTACACGACCAAGGTATCATTCACAGGTAATACTATCGTATCTGCTTCCTTGAGCTTTTTGAGACATGATAGGCTTCTAGCTGCGTTGCTGTACTTGTAGTTAATAGCGTTTTTGAATTGTAGAGATTTAAAGCCTGAAAATATTCTACTTGACAATAATATGCACATTCAAATTACGGATTTCGGAACTGCTTTTGTGGAAGGCGATGATAATGGTATAACTTGAGATAAACTATGATTTATTGCTATACTTTTGTAGTGCTTAAAATATTGCCAACAATATTGCTAATAATAGAGTTCAGATGGAATAGTAGTCTACTTTTAATCACAATCATGTTAATACAGCACCGTATCTATGTGTCTCTTTACAACGAATTAACATTATTCCTACTTGTCTATTTACTACTACGATTTAGCTCGAGCTCAATCATTTGTTGGCACTGCTCAATATGTATCACCAGAATTACTAACAGCAAAGAGTGCATTTAAAAGGTAATAGATTCATCAAACAATTCCAAACTAATTAAAAGAATTAAGACGTGCTTGTCCTTGTTATTCCACCAGCTCGGATTTATGGGCTCTTGGATGTATTATCTATCAGTTTGCTGCTGGATTGCCTCCATTTAGAGCAACGTGAGTTATAATTGATACGCTCATGTTTTACATTACTTGTAAAGAATTAATCGTAGATTGTAATTTATCACTAATGAATCATTACGCCTATCATTTCGGACATATAATCTCTTATCCATAGTATCATTGTAATGCTTAGTTATCTTAGCGGTTCTATTTACTGTTTCATCTCAGGAATGAATATCAAATTTTCCAAAAAATAATCAATTTAGAATATAATTTCCCAGATGGTTTCGACCCCACTACGAAAGAATTGGTTGAGTGTTTATTAGTATGTAAAGTATTTATTTACCCCTTAATTTATATAAATTAGCGTGCTAGTTTACCTACGCTATAAGAATCTTACACTAAGTAATCTGATATTGTACTAATGTTAAACTGACAACTCTAAACAATTAGGTCAAAGATCCTAAGCAACGTTTGGGTTGTCCTGAAATGGGCGGATATAGCAAATTGAAAGCTCATACTTTCTATGAAGGTATAGTTCTTAATTTTACCATATACAATTATTGCAAGTAAATTTATCACTTTATATTTCTTTTTTTATTATAAAGACATTCCCTGGGAAAAATTAGCGGATTTAGAACCGCCTAAACTGGCTCCTTTTTTACCAGCAAAGAGTAAAAGCCAAGAAGATCTGCGTAGTGGACTTAATGTAAGCACAAATTTTATAAATGCAATTCTAGTTGCATGGATTGGTGTTGTCGTTCGATATTGCATTCAATTGTAATTAACTACTACAACAGGAAGGTGGCGACGATGATGATGATTTCGATGAAAGGATGTTAGCTCAATTTGGTTTAAGTGATAAGGAAAGAAATAAGGAATTTGGATTGCTCTCCAATATTAATAAAGAAGACCGTAAGCGTAAGCTAGATAAGCAACAAAAAGATTCCAAATGGTCAGTCGATAAATTTTCGTATCAAAATTAACGAAATCAACTTAATACTTTATCTAATTTCTACATATTTACATATTATATGTCCATCAGGCATAGATTTGTAGAAAATAATTTAATTCTAAAAATGGGCCTGGTAGATAAGCGAAAAGTTAGTACCTATCGCACTTCATCTCTATTACTTTTCGGACGACCTCTAATTTGATTTTAAGCTTCATGAATTTATAATTTTTCACTTTTCAAGGGTTTATTCGCCAGACGTCGTCAGTTGTTATTAACAGAAGGGCCGCATTTATACTACGTCGATCCACAAGCAATGGTGCTAAAAGGTGAAATTCCCTGGTAAGTAGCAATATTTTAACTTTCTTTGCTGTGAGTAACAATTTATCAATGTGGAGATAAACATAATAAACATATTAATTCGCCCCATCATTCCCTTAGGTCCCGCGAATTGCGCCCAGAAGCCAAAAATTTCAAGACATTTTTTGTTCATACGGTATGAAATTACTATAATCAGTTCTATGAATCTTTCTTGATTTGACGTCATGACTATATTCAAAAAGTTTTTCATATAGCTATCAGTAACTTCGTTATTACGTACCTTTATATTACAAACAGCCAAATCGAACTTATTATCTTGAAGACCCAAATGGCTACGCGATAGATTGGGTCAACAAAATTGAAGATGTGCATAAAGATATTTATCAGAGATCCGCATCAGATTCAGTTGCTGAATTTGTTTAATTTACCACGCCGCTTAAAGTACAACAGCGAGCTACTTTACTTGCAGTAATTACCGTAAAACTAGCCATGATCTTTATCTATCCGCTTGGTCATTGGTTACATCAATTGTTTATTATTTTTCTTTTCTGGTTTCCCATGATTGATTGTACAAGTATCAATTCCTAACAACTGTCGAAATTCCTATCACTTGCGTAACTAACACAATTTTTACCTAGTATCAAAACGATAACGTCAATATATATATATATATATATATATATATAAATGATACTATTTAAAATCATCCTTGCGTCGTATAGTGTAAGTTTAATTCTACATTAAGTTTAAAAAAAAATAGTAATTATGAATTGTGACTACGCAAACGGAACGTATTACTTGAAAACATAACTTAGTATGATAGTTTTATATTTTCATTCGAACTAACTTTATACCTAATGGTAGTGCAAGTTTAATATTAATACTAGATGTTAAATATTATTATATTACTCATTAATATCAGATCATTCGCACGATTGAATCAAACATGAATCTTTTTCAAGCTTGTATCACATTAATGTGTTCATGTACGTGAGTTGTGATTTTAATGGCTGTTATAATATGAAACTTAGTACTGTAGTAACCGACCTGCAATCAAGTATTATCCATTTCAGTTGCAATCATTTACTTGATGCTGAATTTACTTTTTGTAACAGCCGAGTTGTTATTCAACCTACAACGACACTAATAGACTGTTGCCAAGCCTACTGATGCCTTTCTTGCGACCGTTGTACCCTATTTTCCATAAGTAACTTATCACTAATGTATCAGTGTATCTCTTATAGTTGTATTCCAATTTCTTAATAAAGATATCGACTAACCTAACGGCTTCTTAAACTAGTATTTGATAGTGTATAGACTAATTATTGCAATTTATTAGCCATGGTATAAAATCTGTCGATCGTACCTGATACACAGCAATAACATTGTAAACACTTTGGAGAATATTGTTGCACTACATTACACTTTAGTACAGTAGTACCGGTAGTGACGATATACTGCTCTATATGTTGCAGCAGGGAACGTAATACACTCACTTTGGATGGACAATAATTCGCTAGTTTCATCCATTTTTTAATTTTAGTAAGTAATTTTAATCTTACAGAAACGGAAGACATAATTCTGCATATAAATTGACTTACATTTTATCATTGCTCTACACAATTGTTTTAAATAAGATGCCTGTGGACTACATGTATGCGAGACCACAATTTGGCAATTTGAAGTAAACAGAAATTATCAAACCTAAAGCAATACAGTCAATTAGAACCAGTGGAAAATATGTTCTCTCCACAGAAATTAAATTTTTATACCATTTTTGAAATTCAATATATTTAAAAAGCTGTGATTTTACGTCAAAATAATGCCAATATAGCTTATTCAACATGAATCATAACGTCCGATCACGATTTAGATGAATTAGAATACATATTTAAAATATCGTAGTCATTCCCGCTAACAGATGATATATTACATTAACAGTATCCAAATAACTGCATATTTTAAAAATTTTTGAATAGCACCAAGGTTCACCTTGAAAATATGTGAAAAGACTCCTTTTCTTCTTTCATATTAAAAATTCGACCATTTGTTGGTATATAATTATTTAGATTGTTTTAGCAACTGATCAATCTGTAGAAATTGTAAATATAAAAATTCTTACAAAAATAATGGCGCTAACAATTACTTCAATCTTCTTCATTATTTAATGTCCGAGAAAACGTATACATATAACATACAGTACAATACCTGAGTTCGATACATCATTTTAACATCTTCTAAATCTAAACGTAATTCTTGAGCTTCTTCAGCTTTTTCTCCATACATCTGAAGCATTGCATTATACCGAGTTTGGAGTTCCTGAAAGATATGTTAGTACACGTAAGATGAAATGACTCTACGCCTCATCAGACATCTTGAATGAAAATCGACGACAAAATGAAGTGTTACATCTTAAGCTTATTAACTTGATAGTAACGTAACGTAAGGTTATATTACCTTATATGATGCTTTCCATTCATTAACAGCTTCGGCTTCGTCTTGTAGACTTTCAATTTCCATATTTAAATGCAGCACGTCTTCCGCAATTGAAGATCTAGACTGCTTTAATGTCGATACTTCTTCCTGGTATAACATCAATTACTTCATATTCAGAAATATCACTTCATTATGATACAAAACAATTAAAAGAGATATGGAAAATTTTATTGCATAGAGTATTCTACACTTGGTTCATAAAGTGTACCTGTAATATAGAAACTTCTCCTTCCTTTTGTTTAAGTTGGGCTTGTAAAACTTCCATGATAGTTGAAGGTGTTGCCCGCCGGAAAAATTCTCCCCCTGCAGTAGGTGTTGATGCTACAGAGTGTGAACGTAGGGACTGTTCCAGTAGTTCACTCTGCAAATCCAATGAATTAATCTTTTGTAGGATAACTTTAAATTTTAGAAAGCGATATCATTCACAGCGCGATAATCTACATTAGTTAATACCTGAGTCAACGATGATGATGCAGGTACATCTGAAATCGCATTCGCATTCCCTGTGGAACTTGACCAGCTATCAGTTCTACTATGTTCGCGAAATTTAAGCTACAAACATCACCAATAAACAATCTCTTATGATATTTACAACTGGCAAAAGAAATCGCTAGCTATTCCAAAATAGTTTAATAATTATATCAATATAATACCGTCGCAATACTTGCCGGCGAGGTATATTTTTAGTACTAGTGTACTCATTAAATCAATATCCAGATAATAAAACTACCTTTTCTTGTGATATATTCAGTAACTCTGTTGTCTTTTTTAATTCTTGCTCCAGATTACTAATTTCATTTTGCATTTGTGTCTCACTTAAGTCCTACATTTAAAAATGCAATTGTATAAATTGCGAATAGGTCTTTTTCTAATTCATTTTTATTGCCATAACAACTAGACACTAGATAACTAGAGAATAATGATATCTACAATATTACCTTATCATTTCGTAGATTTCGAAGGTCACGAAATAGACTAGCTTTAACTTCGTCAGCTTTAGATTTTTGCCTATCATTTGTGTAATTATTTATCGTGAATAAATTATTCCATTAATTGTTATTAGTCACGACGAATGATAAATAACAAATTAATAGTACCGTTTCATGTTATCGTCTAAATCTTGATAGCGGAGCTTTTCAGCTTGCAATTCAGATTTTAACGTTGTTATTTGCTTCTTTTGGGCTTTAATTTGAGCTTCATAATTGGCCAATTTAGAGATAGATTCCATGGACGTTGTTGTTGCTACTTGTTCTTTTTCAGACGCAAGCATTAACTGCTGATTAGTTTCATCTATAGATCAAAAAATGATACATCCATTCAATTAGCTATGAAGCTGTCTGTTTTACTGGCAACATTTTCAATTCCTTTTATAATGACTGACTTAATCTCTCAGTTAAATTTCTTTCAACGGCTTCCCAAGACGCCAGCTGAGATTTATGAGAGTTTTGCAAATTATTTATTTGGCGAAGTAAAGGCTGGGTGGCTGAATTATTAAAGGAGGAAGTATAATTTAATAACCTATTAGTCAATTGAACTGATATTTGAAACTAAAGTGGAAAGTTTAAGTTACGTAGATATTTCTTAATTTACGTGCATTATCGCTGTAATACCTTGTGAAATACTTTGAGATAAATCCTGATTTCTAGATTCTGCTGCTTGCAATCTCTGTTTGATAATATTATTTATCACAATTAAATAGAAATTGTTATTTAGTGCAGTATATAAAATTGTCAAGTCGTTCTTGTAATTAATTATTATACATTAGGTTGATTACAAAGCATCCACTTACCATTTGCATGTCACTAATTTCCCTGCGCAAAGTTTCTTCTGTCCAGGTTGTTTGTTGTTCACTTCTACTTATAGCAGACTGAAGATCTTTGATCTGTTTGCATTTCAATATGTGCAAAATGGTATAACCAATAATTTACTATCACATCCATCAATAAACATGAAGAAATGAAATATTCTCTTATCCGCTAGAATTTCTCTAACCTGCATAGCTAATCTCTCTTGTTCTTCAGTAGCTTTACGCTTTTCACGATCTATTGTCATTCTTAACTCTTCCTTTGCTAGAACCTCAGCACTAAGAGCAATTTCCTTCGCTTGACTTTGTTTATGGGCACTTTCTTTATGCAACTCAGCTAATTCACTACAGTATCGTCAAATTTATTAAGTTACAATTAATATTTAATTATTATCATTAAAAGCATATGTTGAAGGATGTTATTCAAATATTGTACAATATAGTTTCAGTTTAAAATAACAATTTACGCACACATAGGATTTATCGAGAGCCGATTGTAAACTTCTAGCTTTCTCCAAAGCATTATCTAATTCTTGCTATAGTATTCCAATGTTTAAACATAATTGCACTTATTTCCAGATTGCATAAGTAACGTAGTATGATGAAACATAAAAAGTTCTTAAGCTTTATGTTACCTTCTGAGATATCGACTTCTTTTCTTGGCGAGAAATCATTTCATTCAAGGTATCGTATTGTTCTTTATTTTTGTTAGAATTATACAAAAGTGTGAATAGACGACCAACCAATTACTGTAGCGTAACTAGTCATAGCTATCACTGTAATAGATTTTTAAATCATTCAAATGGTACCTTGTAATTTGGCTTCCTTCTGATCTTTTTGTTTAAGAGATTCGCGTAACTTTTCACATTCAGACTGCAACGTCGCAACATTTTCTCTATGTTTTAATTCAAAGAATGCACAAACGATGAAAATAAGTCCTAAATCTACCTTATAGTTAGTGACGCTGTCAATTAAATACCTTGATGATATTAGAGCAGAGTCAGATTCCTTTTCCTTGGCTCTTAATTTTTTAATAATATTATTACTTTGTAGCTGCTGCTTAGATAGTCGTTCCCCTATAATTTTTAGCAAATACGAGTATGTTAACTTGTTTTTAAACGTT